TGCCGAGCGGTCCTGGGGTGGGAGGATGGAGAGGGAGCGGGCCGGGCGCCGGAGTGGAGCCGTGAGAGCTGGGGAGGCAGGAGGGCAGAGCGGAGAGTGAGGATGAAAGAGTGCCCGCAGCGGGGGCGACTTGGTTCCCCGGGAACCCAGCGCTCCTAGGTTAGCACTGTCCGGACAGAGATGAAAGTAATTTTTCCAAGTTCTCAGCGGCCCTGGAATGAAACCCATCCAGGTTGATTTTTCCTGGGCTGCTGACATTCCTTTCAGATTTAACCGTATCCAATACCTCTGAGCATCTTCATTATCTCTTTAAAAACTAATCTGTAGTTAACAGAGAAAAGTATATTTGTAAAGAGCGTGCATGTGTTAGATAACTAAGAAATCAAGGATATTAGCATCGTGCTTTACTGTTTTTAAAGTTAATTCTTGAAACAGCCTAGGAGGTAGCTGTTATTTTTAATCCCCTTTTACAGATGAGGAAATAAACCTGTAGAGGTTGATGACTTGTTAAGAATCACACAGCTAGAAAGTGGTAAAGCCGGATTTTGTACCTTTCCTGCGTCCTACTAGTCATGTCAGGCCTCTAAAATGGGACTCTTTTTTTTCTTCTTAATCTGAATAAGATTGACATTTTTATAAGATCCCAATGTGCTTATGACCATATTAAATGCAATAAACGCGTGCTGTATGAGAACACACGTGGACCTCCGTATATATGTACTGTTTATTCAACAAGCATGCTTTGAGCCCATACTGTTCAAGTCACAGAGGATATGCTTGACCCTTGCCCTCCCAAATCTGTGTTCATGGAGCCTTTCAGATCAACCCGAGATGGGAGGGTTCATTGCAGTAAAGATTTCCACTGTGGTCTGAGACTTTTAGAAACAGAAAAGATGGAGTTTTGCTAGGGGACTGAGAAGCAGCTGTAGGGATGGTCTGCAGTGGGGATGAAGGATGGGTGCCTCACCATCAGCCTAAGTACCTGCCACAGTTCTGACTTTGGCTGCCAAGGGTAATCAGGAACCCCACTCTGATGCAGATCTCACCCTGGACAGTGTGTAGGCCTAAAGGGGCATTCGAGTGACGAAGAAGGGGAATGAGGGAAGGCAAGTTCTGCCCTGCGTGGTTCTGCATTTGCTCTGAAGTAAGAGAACTCAAGTTGCAGAAGAATGGGAGGGCCATTCATTTCTCTCACTTCCTCCCTTCCAACAGACTTGAGCAGGAAAGCAGATACCACACTTTAAAAACGTGTTCGTGTAACTGTCTGCTTTTGTCTCCTAATGTCCTCCCCCACCGGTCACCAACATTCCATTTTGGAAAAAACCTGAGTATTCAGAGTAGCCCGTGGTTAAGACGTGAAGGCAGGGCAGAAGTTGGGTACTTCCAAACAGTTTAGAGGCCACTTGGCGTAGCTAGCTAGCCTCCCCAAACATCCTGATTAACTTTTCTCCGCTGTTTTATTCTGTTCCAGTTCAAGAGACCCAATTAGAAATCACATTGGTTTAGTGAGTGAGCATCCTCTTTTAAAGGAGTCAGTATTTCTGGGAGAGCTAAGGAGCCCCATTGCCCTCGGATACTACACACTGGTACCATTCTGAGCATTTGACATATATTAACTCACTTAACTCACACGGCAGCCTGGTGAGGTAGGTACTACTGTTGTTGTTCGTATTCGATAACAAGGAAACTGAGGCTGGAAGGGGTTGAGAAACTTGCCCGAGGTCACAGGGCTATTAAGTAGTGGGCCAGGATTTGAACTGGTCAGTGTGCTCCAGAACCATCTCACTGCATTGCCTACTCGGAATTATTAAAAATATAATCGCAAGAGCTGCTTCAGATTTACCCAATAATCTGTCTCTTATTTTTGGACATTTAGGTCCTTCCTAACCATCTCAATTAAAAAAAATTAACCTCTCACATTTCAAATTGGGAAATGCCTATGTTAAATGTCAAGTGAAAATAGAGAGGTTTTGTTTCTGAGCAAGTCATGTATTGTGCATAATTTTAGACAATAAAATGAGGAAATTTGTTGACTTTCAAAATTAGGTTCTTGAAAGAACTCCTTATAGGCAGATCTGCAAACTTAGCAATCGCACTTTAATAGAGCCCCCTCCCATAATCATCTAACTGTAGATTAGGAAAGAAAAGTGCAAAGTGATAAAACAAGCCTAGACTGATTGAACTTGGTGTTCCCAAGAAATTCTGAGTTTTTGTTTTTTGTTTATAAAAGTATTTACTGAAGACAACCAGTTAGGAATTACGAGACGTGGGTTTCAGTCTTCACCTTGTCAGTCTTCCAACTCGGACCTCGCAGGACATCATTTTCCACGTCTGGAAAATTCGGGAGTTGCCTGAACTCGAAGGCTCTTTCTAGCTCTAAGTTTCTTTGACTCTAAGGCTCTCCTGTCCGTTAGAGCACGTTTCTGACTCGGCAGAAGCACGTTATCGTACCCACTATCTCCCTCTACTGGTAGAAAGGGAGATTATTCTTGCCCAGCACTTATGCCTTACGGCTTGCGGGAGCCGCTGGTTCAGCTGCTAGGCAGTTGTTTGAACGGGAACGTGAATTCAGCCTCTTATATTGAGACATTTAATTATTCAGAATCCTCGCATATGAACCTTTTTAAACTTGTGTGCTTTGGTGAAAAATGCCTAGAGTTTGGGTGGGAGGAAGAGGGAGACTGATGGATGAGGTAAGTAGTTACTGGTAACTCCAGGAACTAGAATTCTGATTTCTGTACTCTTAGGCTAGTGTTCTTCCCACAGCCCTATGACTCATTCATTCATCTTTTTAAAAATCTATGTTTTATTTAGTTTTTGAGTAGAAAATACATTCACATGGTTTAAAAATTAAAAAGTTACAAAAGGGCTTACACTGAACATCTCTACCTACACAGACATACACAGACACACGCACACACACTCACACACACACACACACACACATACATTCTGTTCCTTAGGCATCCAGTTACTCACCCAGTTACTTACCAGCTCTACTCAGATTCTTTGCTGCTTTTATATACATACAGTTAGATGAACTGTATATATCCTCCAAAAAGTATTTTATGCATATGCCAGCAAAGACATAAGTGGATGTTCCCCTCCTCTCTTTTTATATGAATATAAGCATACTCTTCACACTGCTTTACACATGCTTTTCTTCCTTAACATGTGAAATAATTCCATATTGTTACATAAAGAGCATCCTCAATTTTTATGGCTGTATAATATTTTGTTAAATGGATATATCATGATTTATTTAACCAGACACATAATGATGGGTGTGTGGGTTGTTTCTAGCCTTTTGATATATCAAAGAATGCTGAAGTCAATACCTTATACATATGTTGTTTTGCACATGTTTGAATATATCCATAGGATAAATTCTTAGAAAGGGAATTTTCTGGGTTTAAGGGTAGATGCATTTGTAATTTTGATAAATATTGCAAAATTGCGCTTCAATAGGTTATATCAGTCTACATTCCCACCAGCAATATATGATATTGCTTATTTTCCTATACTCTTTTTCTATAGTTATGTTTCACATATCATAAAATTCACCATTTTAAGTGTGTAATACATTGGTTTTTCGTATATCCACATATTGGGCAACTATCACCACTATCTAATTCCAGAACATTTCCAACACCCCCAAAAGAAACCCCATAACCATTACCCATCCTCCTCCTCTTCCCCAGCCTCTGGCAACCACTAATTTACTCTCTATCTCTATGGATTTGCCTATTTGCAACATTTAATAGAAATGGACTCACGCAGTAGATGTCTTTTCATCCATGTTGTGGCATGTATCATTCCTTTTTATGGCCAAGTAATATTCCAGCATGTGGATATACCAGTGTTTTATTTATCCATTCATCAGTTGATGGACTTTGGATTGTTCCACTTTTTGACTAGTATGCATAATGCCACTGTGAACATCTATGTACA